GAATGGAGCAATTTCTTAAGAGAAAAACCCTGAAGCAAATCTGGGAGACATTCAGGCAGTAACAAACACAGAAGTGAATATTTGGTGTTATCTGAATGCTTCAGCACAGCTCTCTTTACTATACTTCAGGCATTATTTCATACTGACCCACAATGACAGAAAACACTTTCCATTACCATAGTACTGACATTTTCTGCATCAGAATATCCGAAAGCACTAAGAAAAATGCTGATATGTCAGTATTCCAGCTTCATCCATTAAGGGAAGTACATCACATTGTGACAGTTTAGGAATTAGTGTTGTTTAACAGAGAAAATAGAACTACAAAAATAATTTAAGAAATTATAGTAAGCAAGATTTCAAACTATAAATTCATTCCATCAGGAAACAGATGAACTCTTCTTACTACTTCATCATCAAATGACCTAGATTTTCACCTATATAGCCTAGTAAATAAAAAGTGCTTAACAAAATACAGAAACAAATTGGACACTAGGAAGGCTTTCTAAATAATCTTAGGAAAAAATTGATAAATATTTCCTTAGAGACATCCTTCTGTAAACAAGGTTGGTCATTCATAAAAGGAACTATCAGTTTTGCAGTTACCAAAATGACTTACTTATATAACTTTTACACCAAGACTTTATATACAAGAGAATTTAGCAGCAGAAGAGTTTTTCAGCCCATGACACAAATGTCAATTTATAATTGTTCTATAATACATAATTTCTTTATCTTTTTTACTCTCTGTTTCTGTCTATGTTGATGCGAAATATCTGTGGAAAATTTCTTTTTGTGTTGACAGTTAACTGTAATTTCCAGGAACGGATATGCATCCTCTTTGCCATTTTTTCATTGATGTCACATTGAAAATAAAATACATGGGCATAAAAATAAAAAATAAACTCAGCACACATTCTTAAAAAAACTTTAAAATTTCTGTTTACTTCAGTTTTTAGTTTTCTCTTGTGTCTTAAATTTATTCTTTCCCTATTGAAAGCAAATTTTGTACACCATGGAAAAATGATTTACAAAGTTTTTCTCAAAAACAGATGTCTTCATAAGGTCCATACATAAAGTAGTTACTTTCTGATTTTAAAATTCTGGTTTGGTTTATTTTGGTTTTGGTAGAACTGACTTTTAGCTTAAAAATTTCCTGAAGGCTATTGTTATTTATCTGTCAGGCTTGAGAAGAATCTCTGGAGTTCAATATCCTATTAAAAAATAAAACAATGACAGTTGTATTTGTGCTTTGCCAAATGACACTGGTTCTAAAATCTTTTAACATAAACCATTATAGGAAAATTCAGGCTTGAAGTTTAGCAAAAACTGCAGTGAACTGTGAACAAATAAACTTCTTGTCTTCTGTTTGGTCTTGGGCTTCTTCTGAAATCCTGAAAGTTCACTCAGCAGTTTACCATTTTGTAAGACTAGGACTTCAGATAATATTTAAATGCCTTTCTTTCTTACATGTGCTCTTGGGCTGAACTCCTGTGGGACTTGTGACATGTAACTACATTCACTGTTGCTTCAGAATATTTTACTGTGCATGTACTATAGATTACAGACTTGTCTACAGAGAGACAGCTAGTTTTAAATGTTGATTCTCCATGTCTGTCTTTCTATTAGTTAGGGTTTTTTTAAATATTTTTGCAATCATTTGAGTATTGGCTTATGCTTAATATTGCCATTAGAAAAACAAACCAGCAAAATGAAATGAACTCCCAGGTTTTGTACTTGGCCAGCCTTTGCAAGCAACTGTGGTTTTTACAAACTCTAACTTGTAATTTTGCTGGCATACAAAGTAGAAACAGTCAGAGTCCAAGAATGTGAACAGCGATGCATGTTTCATCCTCTTCTAGAGCTTCAAATTTAGAAGTGTGAGATATTTGCACAATGGATCAATGTCAAGGTACACCCATTTTCCCTTAATTACAGTCATTCTGTGAACACCCTTTTGTAAAATCACTTTTGCAAGATCATCCATCTTTTTCTGTCAGCTAGAAACTGCAGGGTCCCCAGATCACAAGCCAGCTGTGGTTGCTTCTGACTGGTCTGCAACATTTCCAATATTTCCACTGAAGCCTATGCATAGTGTATGGACATGACCCTCAAAATTCTATTTAAGTATCTGCAGAACTCAACAACTAGGTCTAACAGGAGAAAAAAAATCATGAAGTGTCTAAGGGGCTTTTCATCTGCAAAGGAGATCAAGAACTCTAGATTAATTCGAGATACGAGCATTCTTCAGGTACTTTAAAGTGTATTCTTGGGGTTTTGCTTTTTAGAAATGAAAAATAGGAGTAATTCTTTCAATGTCAATGGGCTGACAAGAATCAAGAAGTGAACTACTGACACTTTTTTCTGGACTTCAGAGTTTGGGCTCCTGGCTGGAATATAGATGCTGTAGGTGTGTAGAAAAAAAACCCCACAACCCCAAAACATTAACTACAGTTTTATAGCATAAATGCTTTGAGTTTCAGATTTGGCAGGAGTTCTGCTACTTTTTTTTCTTAGTACCCTATACACATTCATCCATCATGCCATTTTTAACAGCAAAAATAATTAAGAAAGTGACAAAATGACAGTGTCCCCCTGGATTCAGCACCAGCAAAGACTAAGTTTTTTATTTCCTTAGAGGCACAAAAATTTATTGCCTGAAATCTGTTCCTTAGTATTAATTCTAATTAATAAATGAATAATTAATTGTAAGTGGCTTAGGCTATGAATGGAGAAAGTTCCCTTCTGTGTGAACTGCCAATGAACCCACACTGATGACTGTTTTGCATTTGGTTTGAACTACTTTTAAACCAGAGCAATTAGTGCCACTGATTGCTTTCCATTTGAGTTGGTAACAGGTCTTCAGTTAAAGCCTATGTATCTTCCTTGAACTTGTGTACTCATCACCACTGTGTAGAATTTTATACTGCCATGAATCATTTTTTGCCAGATAAAGCATTATGGCAAACTGTGGAAACAAAATTTTCAGAGACATATTTGGGGTATAATTGGTATTTTGCCTGAAATATAGCAGAAGAGGAAGGAAAATCTGAACACTCAGAGAACTCTCTGGGAGACTTTTATTCCTTAGACTCCTGTGTAGCCACCAAAATTATTAACAAATCTAAAAAATATTTTAGCAAAAGGTCCATGTGTGCAGTTTAATTCCCCATTTTGAGATTTTGAGGCAGTCTTCCACTCATGTTAACTAAGTATGTTCAGTCCTTTAACATAGAGTTTTTATATTGACACCATCAGATTTTTAGAAGAGAATTTTCATCTGATTTCAAAACTAGAGTAAACTTACCAAAAATTGATTCAGAAGGTACTGCATCTTTAAAAGACTATATGCACTGTTTGCTTATACTGGATGAAAAAGCAGTCACTGTGCTTCTCTCTTCCTTTCTCACCACGGTGTCAGGGGACAGTACAACATAAGGATAGAAAGGACAAATCCATTGGAATTTCTAATGCTCTCTGTACTGTTATAGTCAAAGTGTACACCTGGCTAGGATGTAATATATTTCACGCTTCTTATAACAAGAACAGCTGTACCAGTTCCTCTCCAATCATTAGAAGAAAAACACACAGAAAAAATTAAATTTTGAGGTCTGTCCTCTCACTCCTTTGGCCCTTTCATCCTCAAACTAACTTTCTATCAAGAAAACATTTTGAATGTCGTCAGGATAAAAGTATGAGAGAGCCAGACTGACATACTTGAAATTACTGTCTTTCTATTGCTGCTTAAGCTAAGTAGTCACACAAGAAATTTCAGTCTAAAAGCTTAGAATTTGTTATACCAGTGGAGCAGTTTGCATCCTGGAACAGTAATAGGGACTTTACATTCCTCGACTAGCTTTGGCTTTTCTCATTTTGAAGCCAGGTTTTTGAAGGCTATACAGGGGGGAGATTGCAGAACAAATAACCTTACAGCAAATGTGCCAGTTTAAGTAGTGATCAATATTTTTTTTAAAGTGTGAAGAAAGAATGAAACAATGGAAGGTAAGTTCAAAAGCAGAACAACATGTAAAGAAGAATAGATAGGGTTAAGGCTTTAAAGTCAGAGATGGTGAAACCACATGAATAATTCCCTGCAAGGAACATCCTGCTAAATCAGAATCTCATTAACTTTACTGATACTTCTAATGTTGAGACATAGATGAATCTAAATTAAATCATGATATAATCTCATACAGAATAATAGGAAATAACTTTTTTTCTCAACTAATTATTATGAGTATAAAGGGAAAAGTATATAATGTTCAGGTAAATAGAATAGATGATTCATGGGATAAAAATAAGAACCAAGGGACTGGATTTGGCTGCTATTTTTAAAAGTCACTGATTAGTTGGTAGCTTTGGTTTAAGGAATTATTCATTGATCATAGGGATTTAAACTGCATAAAGGACGGGTTAAGAAATTCTTCAATGAAGCAGACATAAAAGATAGAACTACAAGGCAGTAATATTACCTACAAGGTAGGTTGAATAGTTACTACAATTTAGTGATTTTAAAACCAGACATTCGGAATGAAACCTGTTCATATACATACACTTGCAGAAGTCATCTGTAGCTCTGTAGGAATCATCTTGATATATTTCCCTGCGAATCTGAACAAATAGAGAAAGTAATTATTTGGATATTATTATTGGTTTGACCTAAAAGTCTAGAAAAGGGAATTATCTAATATCTCATTGCTGTTTTCTGAGTCTAATGAATAATTTAATTATTTTACTTGAACTAAATCTGCCTTCACAAGGAACTTGTGGATTCAACATTTATGCTATTTTCAAAATCCCAAGGGGAGGAAAAATTTTCTCTTCAATTCTAAACAAATAAAATCAATTCAAACATATAAAAAGTTTTTAAAATCTTTAACTTTTTCCCCCCATAGATTATTGAAAAAAAAGCTAATAAACATTAATTAGTGTATCTAATAACATGACACAGTATTGTTTCTGTAATTACTTTATCTTATTTTCTTTCTGTCCTCTTTTAGAGATCATCTATAGCTGGGTATTTAATGAATTCCCATCTTTTGTGGCAGAAGACAGCAGGCGCTTCATCTCTCAGGAGACAGGCAATCTCTACATATCCAAGGTGCAAACATCCGATGTTGGCAGCTACATATGCCTGGTAAAAAACACAGTGACAAACGCCAGAGTTCTGAGTCCTCCTACGCCTCTGACACTGAGAAACGATGGTAAGAAAGGCATTACTTCTAGGTATTACATGGAATAAAAATACCAAAGTAAAAATACTCTAATTAATTTAAGAACCATGATTTTATTGTTTTTCAGCATATGCATGCATTTTCTGTAGCAACTGGGAAAGGAAAGTGTTCATGGAGGCAGTTTCTTTTAAAACATCCAGACATTGTGAGAATATTTAGATCTATGAAGGCTGAGGTGCAAACTGACACCTTTTGGCGTATTTGGTTTAGAACAGTTACTCTACCTCGCTATTCTGATATTCTGTCACTGACAGAGAATCACATCTCCTTTACAGGCGTTGTCTGTTCCCTTGGGGCTCAGTTCAGTTGCCTCAACCCAAGTGGCTACTGCCACACTGATTCCTGGGGCACCTGAGACATCCACAGGGGATTAGCAATCACCGTATGGAGCATACAGACCAGCTGCAAGATGTCAGGAGATCATTCATGGTTGTGGCCACTGTGGTTAAAGAAAACACAAAATATTTCCCTGAATACACTGGCAGCAAGAGGGCTGAGGAGAATCTCCATCCTTTTCCAGGTTCAGAATGTGTCAGAGTGTCACAGGATGACAAAAGCTCTGAGATACTTAGTGCCTTCTTTGCCTCAATCTTGAATACCAAAACCAGTTGCACTCAGACAATCCAACTCCCAGAGATGGAAGTTAGGGATGGGAGATCCCTTGAGTGATACCCCCATAACCCCGGAGGGAATGGTTAATGATCTGCTATGCCAGTTAGATACCCACAAGTCTATGGGCCTGGATGGGATGCACCCAACAGTAATGAGGGAGCTGGTGAAAGAGCCCACCAAGCCATTCTTAATCATTTACCAACAGTCCTGGTTATCCAGAAAAGTCCCAGTTAACTGGAAAATAGCAAATATGAGGCCCCTCTACAAGAAGGATCAGAAGGATGATCCAACAGCCCCAGGCAGTGCTACAGGCTGGGAACAGGGGCTGGAAAACTGCCTGGTGGAAAAAGACCTGGGGGTGCTGGTGACAGCAGCTGAATGTGATCCAGCAGTGCCCAGGTGGCCAAGAAGGCCGATGGCATCCTGGCCTGGATCAGCAGTGGTGTGGCCAGCAGGAGCAGGGCAGTGATTGATTGTTATGCTGTACTCAGCACTGCTGAGGCCACACCTCATGTGTCCTGGGCCACTCACTTGAAAAAAAGGATATTGAGGTGCTGGAATGAGTCCCAGAGAAGGGCAATCAAACTGCTAGAGGTGTAGAAAACACATCCGATGAGGAGCGGCTGAGGGAGCTGGGATTGTTTAGCCTGGAGAAAAGGAGGCCTGGGGGAGAGCTTATCACTCTCTACAGCTGCCTGAAAGGAGCTTGCAGAGAGCTGGGTTTCAGTCTCTGCTGCCATGTCCCAAAGAAAGAGAGAAAATGGACAATGTTTTCCTTCTTTCTAAGATGTTCCACATTCAGTTATGTTTTCTAGCTCCTCACAGCAATTCAGGACATGTGAATCCATACCTACATAAGTCAAAGAGAGAAAGAGAGAGGAAACTTGAGACTTTTCTTCGGTCTTGCTTTTTCTTGAGCTAATACTAGTCCTATGCTACAGACACATTAGAAAATCTGGATTTAAACACAGATGACTTAGTTTAATAGAGTAAATTAAAAATGTGTTCACCAATTTGAGTGAAATTAACTTAAAGTTTGGTTTTTTGTAGAAAATTTAAATTCCCTCCTGCATTGCATGTAGCCTCTGCAGCAAAAAAGCTGCTCTTTTAATTGATCACTTCCTATTTTCTTTTGTTGGTTTAGTAACATTAATAATGTTAATTATTGAGTTTGAAGTGTTTAATTTTACTGGTTTAACATAGTGAACTTCATCTTTTTGATGAAATTATTTTTTTTTCAAAATTAGAACACCCAAACATTGACTGCCTTTTTAATCTGTTTGGACTCTGAAAAAAAATAGAATTTTATTTTCATATTTATTATTAATATCTTAATCTATTTATTCTTTATGATATTTCTTCATGCTTTTATTTGGCTCCATCTTGTGCAGAAATTCAGCAAATTATCCATCTTGTACTGACAGTACATAGACACACAATATACTGTAAGAAATTGAGAGAGTAAATAAGGATAAAGGCAGCAGTCTACATCACTGAGCTAAGAAAAAAAATCTATGAAGGAAAACTCTGCAGATTTTTTTAAATGTCAAGTGGGTAGTAAATACCAGCCTCCAGCAAATTTTTGTTTCATGGCTGGCTATCACACCACTGCGATAATCCAACCTTCTGAACTGTGCTGGAGTATTGGGGAAGTGTTTTCACATAGATGAACAGCTCCTCAACAGTTTCCCACTTTCCTGACTCATTTTTTCACACACATGAATTTCCACTAGGCTTTCATACCTTAATCTGCTGGTATTTATGAAAAGCTGCTTTATTGACAGGGAATTCTTTAGTATTTCTTAGTAAATTGCTTTCTTTCCTGTATGACTGAGCAAGTTTCTCAGTGAAGAAACCTCAGCTTTCTACTTAACCTTGCAATCTCCATAAACCTACCTTGAAAAAAATTTTAAGGAAAATTCTGTTTGCTAAATCATATTATTTGGGAAATCTGTCTGGTTCTACCTCCTACACATAGGGGCCTTTTAAAAATTACTTGGGATTATAATAAAAATTTCCATAAATTGTACTGTACCTTTTCATTTTCATACAAATGGCCTTAGGTAATATTGCCTTGTCCATTGACAAATATTAAAGGGTGATGACAACTTTTTTAAAGTATGCATTCATTATGTATACAAAATAACTGCAGAAAAGTACTACTAACTAGTTAAAGAAAATTAAAGTAATTTATGAAGAAAGAAACAGCTGGGAATAGATTCCAAGAGGGAAGTGAGAATTCAAAAATGGCATTAAAACAAACATCAAATTTCCTAAAAATATACTCGACTCTATGTTTGCTAAGTTGTGTTATATGTTTTTAAATATGGCTTTTTAAGCATTTTTTTGATCATAAAATTACTTGAATTGCTTTGAACTTTTCAAATACTCACTTAGGTTTAAAAATGATGCATCTTTCTGAGTTCAAATGGTTGGCATCACAACTGACATTACCCTAAGCAGTCAGCACATTTGTTAGAAACCACAGGAAGAGCTTGTGGTTTTAAACAGCTTTTACAAATAGCTCTATATAAATAAAACAATTTATATAGCCTGTATTCTCCAAACATATATGTCATTAACTCCAAAGTGCTCTAATTGATTTATTTATCATCATTCTTAGATTTTGATGTATATACAGTACCTATGCCCAGGGGACTAGACAGTTTATGACAACGAGCACTTCAATGACAACACTGGTCTCTATTAATCTATGAAAAAGAAATGAAATAATATTAAGGCATTCTGTCAAACTCTGCAAGATTGTAAGAACTTACTAGGATTTTATTAATCTTTTATTTCTTCTGTGATGTGTCTCAAAGGGGAGCTTAGCTGCTTGATATGAAGCAAATTAAATAAAAACATCAAGAAATCCTTCAATGGATTCTGAATAAAATTAATACCTCATTTGTTCAGATGTCCTTGACAATCAATCATTTCATATAATTCAATTTCACTTCAAACTGAGTTATAAAAGCACCTAAAAATTCTGATGAAATAAAAAGTTTTAACAGGAAATAAAAAATATACATTATTTCATTACCTGTCTTTTAATGTATTACAAACTTCGACAAATTATTTGATAACTGTTTAAAATAATAAACAGATTTGTTAAATTGTATCTTCATGGGCTTGGATGCTGATTTGGAGCAGTAAATTATCTTGACTCATAAAAACAACAGAAAGTCTTTTTAAATTAAGGAATTAGAAACCTGGAGTATAAACATTTGATGTTTGAGAGCATTAGACAGTTATTTCAAGTTCACACATTTGTATTCCAGTTTTTCTTAATTTTTTGTCATTCTTGTCTTTTTTATTTCTTTGGAAAATATGTTAACTTTATCATTATTACTGTACTGTAACCAATTATGTAATTCTTCATTTTAGCTCTGTGCAATTACTGCATATTAACTTTGCTATGGTGAAGTTTCCAGAGTAAATAAAAAACCAGAAAAACCCTAAACCTGGACAATTTCAGACATAAGAGGATATTTTCTACTATGTTTCATTTGAGCAAATTAGTTTAACTTCTAGAGATTAGTATGTCTGACCAGACATATTCTCATACTTTCAGATTTTTTCTGTCTTCATAGTCTGTGAACCAGTGAACGGAACTTTTTTGTCCTCATTCTATTGATTAATTCAGTGTGACTTATAGTTTCACATAAAGATAGAACATATAGTAATTGAAGTATTAAGGATGTTAATTTCTAATTTTCCATGATGAAATATGATCTGCATGTGCTGTTTGAAGTTAAACCCTGGGATACGTTGCTTGAACATCACTAGGTTATCTAAAGATCTCTTAACCAGCATGAAGAAAAATTTGGAATAAATCATAGAAAATTCCCAAATAATAGAGATCAAGTAACAAAAATGTCCAGTGTAGGGTAATAAGATAATAAATAAAGATAAATTTAAATTTACAGTTGCAAAGACTTAGCTGTACCCATCCTTGAAGAATGCTGACAGTTATTAATTAACTGATAGCTATAATTTTTAAAAAAATGTTTAAATATGAACACTAATGGTTTTTACCTGTCATTCCTTGATTTTTTTTTTTGGGGGGGGGGGTTTAATATTTTTTTCTCCAACTTTTATTAGTGGTTTTGTCCTCTAATGGGGTTATTCATACGGAGCTGAATTCTGAAAGACAACGAAGTACACCTGAATTTTAATAGGGGTTCAAAATATCCAGCTGTGACTTAATTTTTTTCCGGAGCTTCCAGCCTTACAGACTTCCTGTTTCATGTGGGTTCTTTTGCAAGGTTTTTAAGTAACATTTTGTATTTGAATTGTGCAAGTCCATAAAAATTGTACAGAAACTGTAGAAACTCTTCTTACTCAGTACTTCAGGG